AAAAAAAAAAAACAAAGGACAAGATTCCACCGGGCGCAACCTTGACAGACGAGGACGACACCACCCGCCTTTTAGCAGTGGGAGGCAAGGCAGACAAAAAAAAAGGGAGAAGGGGAAAGCAAGTCAACCAGTGATAAGGAGGAGGCGTACTGAGGACGAGGAACAGGAGTCACAGAAATAGGGGAAAGGAGGCGCACAGGCAAAGGGAGACATTTTTACCGCAGGCACCTTCCGTGTTATTATCACTATCATCATTATTATTATTATTATTGCTACAACAAAAAAGAAAATCGAGGTGGTGTAGAAAGGAAGGGAGAGAAACAAGGACAACCCCGGACTGAAAAACCAACAAAACAAAATAAACGCTTCTCAAGTGAAACAACAAAACTAGCAGTAAACTGAGGGAGATAGAGCAATGACTTTGTCCCCAGATCGGCAGCAGCGTGTGCAGAGCATCCTACAGCAGCTGGGTCGTTTTCCCCCACCGCCACTTGACAGTATAAATGCCGTGCCCATCGATGCCATGCCACCATCACCAGCAGCAGCGCCAATGCCAATAGCAGCAGCGCTGCACCACGAAAATGGTATGGGGACGGTGATCGCCGCCCCGCTTCCGCCGCTCCCGTGCGACGGGCACGACTGCGACGAGTTTGAGCGGAAACTCTACCTTGACGACGAGCGGAGTGTGGGCGGTGGCAGCCACAACAACAGCAGCAACACCAGCAACGCAATGGGATACAGTGAGAGGATCAAACCAACCGCCTATATGCGAGCCCCGCGCTCTGACAAGCAGAGCCGCACGAATTTGTTTATCAGCAACATCCCACACAAGATGGAGCACAGCGACCTCGTGCGCATGTTCTCCCCCTACGGGGAGATTGTCTCCGCGGCTGTGATGCGCAACATCCACACTGGCAACAGCCTCGGAACCGCCTTTGTGCGCTACGCCACGCCAGAGCAGGCGGAGAAGGCCATCAACGGAATGGGGGGGCAGAAGCTAAACGGGCGCACAGTAATCGTCCAGTGGGCGAAGAAGCAGCACGACGACGCTCCTGTTGGTGAAGCCCGTAAAAAGATCTGCAAGCTTTTTGTGCGGAATATACCACTCGATATTGGTGTGAGTGATCTCATCCTGTTATTCAGCCAGTACGGCCCTGTGAAGAACGTCTCTATCCACAAGGACACGGCACCAGATATTGAGCGGAACTTGGAGCGTCATATCGCCTTCATCACCTACCTCGCAGACGGCGCTGCAGAGAAGGCGGCGGACGCAATTCACAACACGCGGCCCTTCCCGAGTTGTGGCAAAATTCCACTGATGGTAAAGCTAGCAGAGGACACGCCGCAGTACGCGCATCATAACAACGCTAACAGCAGCTTGAATAGCACTATGAAAAGCGGCAGGTCGTTGCCGCCATTCCAGGAGACTTCCTCACCGGAGCCGGTGCGCGTTTCTTCGAATACTGTGGTGAGGGGTGTGCTCCCCATCGGCAGCGAGAGAGCAACTGCTCCCCCTGCTGCTGTGCCCACCTTCTACCCTACAGTGATGCCTACTACTGGCTTTATTCCACCGCCTGCTTACCCCAGTGTGGGAATGGGGAACGACCAGGGGTACCCAGTGAGCGCGCAGCTAGTTTGGCCGCAACCAGCCGGTATTCCGGTGGCTGTTCAGGGCGGTTACTCCGCTTCCACTCCTGTGACCGATAATGCTGCGCTGGGCAACACCATCATCGCTCCGATTTACCAGCCACAGTTCCAAACGGTGGGTGTTACTGGCCTCGCTGCTCTCCCGATATACACGACACAGTTCTATCCTGTCTTATCGGGCTTCCCCGAGCAGCAGAGCGATGCGGCGGTGAGAGCTGCTGCTGGCGCTGAAGTTGTCACCCTTATGCCACCTGCCCCGAAGGGCCATACGGCTTTACTGCCTGAGTATGCTGCGTTGGTAACGGCACCAGCACCGCAGCCACGGCCCGTGGCAGAAGCTGTACCATACACACGGGAGAAAAAGATGCCAATGCCACTCCTGGGTGACGATCCAATCGGCGTTAAAGGGTGTCGCTCTGCACTGCCCGCATTGCTAGATGACGAGGAACTGTCGCTGATGCGTGCCATGGCACGGCTGTCAGTGGCGGTTCCTGTGATGGATGAGCGTCGCCATGTGGTGTAGGGTGGCGTTAAATTCATTCATTATTTCGTGATCTCTGTTTCGCCCATCTTTGCGTTTGCCGCAATGAAAGCCTTGCCTTGCTTTAACAGGGGTGGCAGGTGGTGAGAGTAGACGCATGGGAAGCGACGCGTACATGATAACATCAACCGGCAATCAATAAGCGAAGAGAGCCGAATAACAACCACAGCGATCATAACAACAAACGAATGGGGTAAATGAAAAGGGAACACCAACTGTAGAAAAGGGAACAACGAGCATTCTTAGGGTTTGCTTGGAAGCTTCCGATGAGTGGTGCAAGACTGACTTTCCCCACACTCACGCTTTGTTCTGTTTTCTTTCCCGTGATATGTCTGTGCGTCATATTACCCTTTGCCTCCCTTCAAACGGGAGGGGGTTTGCATTTTTTTTTTTTTCGTCGTCTTGTGTTAACTTTTCGTGTGTATCTATATGAGCGTGCGGACGTAGATATACACGACTCTCTCTCTCACTCGGTTTATATTTATATATATTAGTAAAGTGATGTGTGTGAATTGAAAGGGGGAAAAAAAAGCGAGCGCTTACTTTTTTTTCTTTGCCTTTTTTTTTTTTCGTTTGTTTTGGTGGTGGTGGTGGGGTTTTTTTCTTTCTTTCTGCCACGGCGTGCGGGGGATGAGGCGTGGTGCGCGCCCGAAGGCCGGCAAGGGTCGTAAAATAGGCCGAGAACGGAGAAGACTTGCGGNCTGCCACGGCGTGCGGGGGATGAGGCGTGGTGCGCGCCCGAAGGCCGGCAAGGGTCGTAAAATAGGCCGAGAACGGAGAAGACTTGCGGCTCCTTTTCTTCTCTCTCTTGCTGCACCCCTGCGTGTGTGTGTGCGTGTGTGTGGTGTCTCCACCCACGCCTGCCGTGGTATCTATCAATCTATCTATCCATAAACACATCTCAACGGCCACGCTGCGGAGAGAATGGTGAGGAAGAGAGAAGGTGATGTTTAACGGTCAATGAGCAGCGATACGGCAGCGACATCGTCACCAGTAACAACGACGCTAAGAGAGAGTAAGAGAAACAACAACAAAAAACGATACGAAAGAGAGACAAAGACAACAACAGCAGCGAAGAAGAGGAGGAGTGAGAGAACCGGAGGATGAAGAAAGAAAAAAAAAAACCGAACAAAAAGTACAAAAAACGAAAAGCCAACAACAAAAGAAAAAAGGAAAGAAAAGAATGTGAAAGAGGCAAAAAAAAAATATTTTAATTTAGTAACAACAAAGAGAAGGGCAGATGCAACGAAGTCAAAAAAGGGGATTGGCTCAATTACCCCCTATTGGCGTTGGAACTGCCTGTAGTACTATTGTCCGTTTGGTGTGTTTCATCATTTTCATTTTTCGAAGCATCTTTTTTTTTTTAGTTTTTCTTTTTTGTCCATTCCTTATTTCACTATTTCTACGAAGGTGCCCCACCTCTTCCCTGCTCTCTCCTCTATCCACACACGCACGCATGGGCCGGATTTATTTCACAACAGCGGATCAGGGTTTACTCGCTCTTGCACGTTTTCCTGCGGCCTCTGTTGTTG